GCACCATCAGAGGACTCCTTTCCATTCTGTTCCTCTGCTTCACAACACACACAGTAGTGAAGCAGAAGAAAAATGAAATTAAGAGAAACCAGTACACCAACAGAAGCTGATACTGAGAAATGCCATATTACACATCTCTTACTCCAGATGCAAACAGAAGCTGCTCTACTGAGGTTTCTTCATAATCATTAAGGTAGAATACAGTGAGTATGAGCATTTGGATTTTTACCATACACAAAAATGCAAGATTATATATAGAATCAACATAGAATGGTTTAGGTTGGAAGGGACCTTAAAGACCATCTAGTTCCAAGCCCCCTTACCATGGGCAGAGACACCTTCCACTAGAAGTCCCATTCAACCTGCTCTTCACATCAGTTTTAGTTTGGTACAACTCCAGCAGTTATTTTCATGTAAAGCCAGAATAATGATGGTAGGAACTGAGCTTCCTCTCACCAAGCAATTCCTTAAAAACCATTTTTCAAGTAAAAGCCAGGCCTATGAGTAAAGCTTCCAGAGTCTTCATATACCCAAACTGAGGGTTGTAGTTCCTTTCAAGTTTGCCTTACTGACTGCCCATCTGCTCTGCCTGCTTTCACTGAGCAAAGTTCACATGGAAAAATGAGCTAGTCACATCATTAGACTTCACTTTCATCTGCCTGCACTTTGCCTCGATTTTAGATGTCGGCAGCAAGCCATGACCAGGATAAATGCTCTACAGCTGGCCCACCTTGCTTGTGCAAGCAATGGAAAACTTCACACAGGCAAACATGAGCAGGTCTGCAGGATACTCATACAGTGGCCTGGCTGTGACAGCCCCAACCCCAGTAAAGCCCCAGTAACACTCAGTTTGCCTGTACAGCTTAAAACTAGATAAAACAAATTACCAGGGCGTATTTCTGAGGAACTGGCTTGTGTTAGTCTCTCTTGTGCTATTCCTTCAACAAATTATCTTATGATAATTGTTTGCCATTTATATTTTGTCACAAAACCAGGAGAGGCAATAGATTCTATATTATCTACTGAATGCCCATGTTTCTAGCAAAATAAGAGTCACAGTGGAACACTAATTCAGAGTAATACATGTTTGTTAGTACTAGCTGGGGGAGGAGGAGAATCATCCTGCACAGCTTACACCTGCAGTTTGACATGCACATATACATACATGTTAATTTAACAAAACTAAGTGTTTCAGTTCTCGAATAAAAGGCACTTACAGTAACCTGGTACATAGATGCTTTATTTCTGATGTTAATGTGGTCTGTATTGTATGTGAGATTCTCTTACATAAAAGAAAAGTTTGTAGTACAACAAAACTAGGATAAACAAGGCATTTGTTGCACATTATGTCAAACCTTAAAACAAAAATATGGAGTAATATGTATTTAGATTTCATGCAAGTTTGGCTGCTGCACGTACAATCTACTTATAAACTGAAAGAAATGCAAATGCAAACAACATTCAAAAAGTAATAAAAGATGCCTGACATATGAAAGATTAAAACCTTCCTGCTAAAGCAACAAAGTAGGAGTTAACTGAATGATCCAACCAATACCAACACAAATTAATACTACTTACCATAAATCTATGCTTAAACTTGGTATAGCCAGTTTTGGTGATACCACTTCTACTGAAATATATCATCCAGATTCTAGATAGTCACTCTCTTTTAATTACTTATTTCATTTTTTGTGAATTAAGTGCTGTCTCCAGTATTAAATGTTGCTGTTAAATCCATTCTGGTAATGCACACTGAAATCTAAGACTGCCAAGAATTCCAATTGCCTCCCCTCAGTCTTCTCAGGTGAGGAGTAATCCTGGCATGATGGGTATTTTCTGATCTCTTTCTTACACAGAATTCCCCCCCCCCCTTAAAATTTTGATGTAAATTTAAAATTGCTAAAAATGTTTATGCCTACTACTGTCATAGCCAGGCGAATATTTAATATGAAAAAGCTCCTAAAAATGAGGATTGTATAACCTTTGAAATGTTTAAAAAAAGTTTAATAACCCATTACCTTCCTTGTGCCACTCATCCCATATTAAAATTCTCCCTTAATAAATTATTCTCTGCCATCTTCGATATTAAAGCGATAGGAATACTTTCCACACCCTGCATAGTACTGGTTGGTCTCATAAAGTTAACTAGAGAACCTGACATCATTTTTGTAATTTTACATACAGTGCATATGATGCTCGCTCTTTCCATCTCTCATAGCAGCAAGCCGATTCTGCCACCATCTGTAGCAGCACACCCGGGAGTGGAGAGGAAGAGTGTTTGAATTATAAATAACTAAAACTACAGTGTACAAGTCTATTTACCTGTCAGTATTTGTTGATAGCACACCATTATAACTTGCTCAAAATTAACTACATATAAATCTCTACAACAAAAGCAAACCAAAACATTCCTTCAAAAACAAAAGAAGACATAAAATAAGTGCAAATACCTAAAATAGGCAACTAAAGCAACTGTTGTGACCTGTATACCTTTAAATAAGGACAAAGATTTTCTATAAATAAAAGAATGTTCTCTTTGCTTTTCAAACATACAGTAAGTATATAATGGTCAAACTTAAGTGCAGATACAATTGTTCTGAGATCCAAGGTGCCAAGTTCTTTTTTTTTTTTGTTCTTTTTTTTTTTCATATATATTTAAAATGCATTAGGTTTTAGCTCCTATGCAGGATGAAGTACTCCTGGGTCACCATTCCTTTCTAAGTATATTTAAACAAGGTACAGGAATAGTTGCTGTATAATACAGGTATACCTTGTAATTATTTCGTAGACCAACATGATTTAAGGGTTATAGTGCAATCTTTATGTAGATGTAACATACAGTATAGATTTGTACACTTCACCACTGTAATTCTTCTGCTATGCCATACTTTAAACTTGTCCTTTTTTGAATTTTAGCTGTTTTAACAGGAAACAACATTGGCTTCTAGACAACCTGCATACATATAAATATCTACATTTAAGCTTTAAAATGAAAATAAATTATAAAACCAGACTCCTTTCCAATTTACAAAATTTTCCCTGCTCCTACGTACTGTACAATACATTCAACAATCATCTCATTTTGAGATTTATGAAGAAAATACTGATGCTTTACACTAAAACCTAATTCACCCCCCTCTGCCTACTTCTAGTACCATTTGCAAATAAATATATTTAACACTGTAGTTAATTTCATTGTTTTGCAGCATACCAAAAAAATTAGTAGTGCAACTTTCTATCCTTCCTTTATACTCCTTTTCATTGTGTTTCTTTATATACTATGAAAATGCTACATAAGCAAAAGCACATTCAGTCATGTATGTTGCTCATTTGAAAACCAGTAACAACCTATAAACCTACTCTATATTGAAAATGCACTAACAGAAAAAAGCAATGCAAGTCAGAATAAATATGAAAATTGACCTAAAAACTGTGTGTAGTCAGCACTGCAATGTATTTTACCATTCTTTATCATACTTTAGGGTGTTACTTTTTAATACTCAAGAAATTCATTGCAGAACTGGTTGTACTATCCCTTCGTAGAAAATATGAGAACTTCATGTTTGTTCTTTGCCAGTCAAAAGAAGAAAGGAAGCTTTAAGGTAGCTTAAAGGTTTCCCTTGGCAAGACTGTCTCAAAGGAAAGTCTTAATTCACAAGTACTGTGCTAGAATCACCTTCACCATTATGTCAGTTTCAATGGAAAGAGATGGCTGGCAGTTGCAGTGACCATCACAGTATCAGTGCTCTTGAAGTGCTGTTGGTAGCTGTGTAAGTGCTCAGATATCTTCTTGCTTGCTCAGTCAGGATAAGCTGGTCTTCTGTTTTTCCATAAACAACTGCTTCCCATTCACAATTTGACTGCATAAAATAAAATTCAGTTTAAAAGATACTTTCCACTAAAATATTTGAGCAATTCTCATACAACCTTTCAGAGTAATAATAAATTGTCATGGCCTAGTAATATGGTATTTTACTGAGGAAGATTCAGTTCTACAATAGAAGACCTAAAACCTGTGACAGAGCTTCCTCTCCACCCCTTAATCCAACTCCCCAGCATGGCATCTGTGTTACGCTTTAAGTTCTAACACACAAAATGAAAAACACTCTTGAAATGAGACTAGTTCAACAATTGATACACAAAAGGGAAGTTAGTTAATTAAGTCATCTTCTCTTTGGATATCTTCCCCTTTAAGTGTGCTCAGTTCAACAGGCAGAAAAATACGTTATTGACAGCTGTCTGGAGACACAAGGAAGGCAAAATGGTTTGGCAGCCAGAAAAGAATACTGTGAAGGACCTCACTGAATCAAAAGGGCAGCTGTGGCAGAATGGTTGGATGCTTTGGGAACATATTAGAAATGGCAAAGGAACTAGGACTAGAAATAATGAATGAAAGAATAACCAAGCCACTAGTCCTTCCCCTTCCATGAGGCAAACTCTCATGCACAGCTGCATGACTCATTGAATCTCAAGCTGATTTGTTGCAGCTCTAAACTGGACATGACACCAGCAGATTGTAGCATAATGAATAATGCAATATTCTCTCCCTTCCTCATTGAACTAGAAATTGATCCAAAGGATGAGTTACATGTACAGATGCACAGAGAAAATTGGCCATTTGAGTTTCTCTAGAAATTTAGCAGGAATTGATTCACAGAAAGGACTCATGGTTAGAGAGACCACTAGATTGAGAGGTAATTTCTCAAGGGAAAGCAAAACCAGAAGGACGGTTCAATGTGAATATAGTATGACTAAGCTCCCCTTTTAAGTACTGGAAGAGCGTAGGTCTGGGACAGATAGATGTATTCATCTTTGCTGTAATTCCCAGCAGTTAATTCCTTTTCTGAAATACCACGATTAAATGGAGGTTTGTTCTTTCTTCTCGTAAGAAAGGATCAGAAAGTAATATTGTTGCCCCTGTACTTAAAAACACATCATCATTAAAGCAGTTAAGTGGGACATGGAAGACAAGGCTCCAGGGGCCCTGCCTTTTGTTTTGCTGTTGTTGTTTGAGGTTTTTTAATCAATACAGAGCTGTAGATATTCTGAGGAGACACAAAAATTGTATCTGTTAACTTCCTATGGGAAAAACCAGAACAGGTACCAAGTCAGCTCAAAGAGAATCTCTCCCTAAACCTGGTGGCCAAGACACACACAGGTGAAAAATAGGTTCCACAGTTTTAACAGTACAGAAAATAGAAGTACAAGAACAGGCACATTACAATAACCGTTACCAAACAGAATCTGTGGATGAACTCCACTTAATGAATCCCATGGAGCTTATTATGAAGTAAGCACCAGCCACATTTGAGGAACTTAGATGCTATAGTGGATTGGTTTGCACTGTGTCAAGTTTTCCTGCTGCTGGACTTGGGTACTGAAACTTGTTTTGTAGGTCTATCCTATCCTCATTGGTTTCCCCGACGTTTAAATCTGAGAGGCGACTCAGTGAAATATCAGGGTTGTATATAAAGACCTTAGCTATGAATAAACACTTTGTGGAAAAATGACCAACTTACAAGAAACAAGGATCATGGAAACACTGATCAAAACTAGGTCACTGAATTGAACAATTCTAGACATTAGTACAAGACAGAAACAAAAGTCTTTGTTAAGCTGAGAACAAAACTATCAGAATTCTTTGCATCCAGACCTGAAAAGCTTTTTCCATTTTGGCATTTTTTGAAGCACATGCATTCATTTTCTTCTTAATTACTGCATTTGCTTTGTTTGCTGGATTTGTATCCTGGTTTTCTGGTGTCAGGTTACATTTGTTGTCATGTATTTCCAACAATGGTACTGTTAATAAAGATGTGGTATATGCATTTTCTGACTATTGACAAAAAAGAGGGTAGGAAACAGGAACAGTAGTCAGTACTTAATAACAAAAAAACATAACAAACAAACAAACAAAGTCTTCAACTGCTGTGATCAGGGAAGCCAAAAGGTAAGCAAAGCAAATACTATCAGAAAGACTCTAGGAAAGAATCTGAAAAGTACATTACCTGAAGAACTAGCATGGCATATACTGAGTCAATACTGAGCACAATAGAACAAGTAGGTGCTAGCAAGATTTAGGCAGTACTGGGTAGACAGCTTCTTGCATGTAAAGCCAGGCTACAGCTCATTACACTTTGTTAAGAACAAGACTTGATAAAGTGGTAATTAAAGAACAGTTTTAAAGAAATAAGCTTGTCATTCTTTTCTAGTATTACCTTGTGAAAGTGAGCACAAGGAGACTGGAGTAAAAAAAAAAAGTAAGATCACATATCAGGAGGAGGAGGATCAGGAGAAGGAGGATCAAGAGGAGGAACTGCTTTAAGTACTGAAATAAGCACTGGAATGATCATGCCAGAAGTGCTTTATATGCTGATAATATTTATGTAAATAAAAAGAAATTAATTCAGATTCATTACATCAAAGCAGAAGAAAGGTATAGGCAATGTTAAGAGAGCAAAATTAGATGAGAATAACAGTGGCATATGTACTTGTTCACTCACAAAACCACCCTCAAACTGCATTAAAATACTTTTACATATTTACTCAGACCTCACTCCTAACTTATTACCACATGGACACACAGTTTCTACTTAAGGATTGGTCTGTTTTTTCATGTTTAAAATCAGATACTGACACTATCTTTCTTGCTAAAACAGAATGTTTCTGTAGCACCTGCATCCCTCATTAATGTGGAAAAGTATTTTTTTCCTAGTCCACTGCCTTCAGTATATCACAACATCATACTGTATCTTGGTTCACCTCAATAACCTGAACATCAGTGATGCACAGTATACCATGTCATAACAAGACATTATTAAGAGAACACCGGGAGTTATATTTGTTTTGAATGCCTGCAGCAATACTGCTCCTCCCAGTACAAGGAAGTTCTTGGAGAAAGCCGGGAATTTCCACTAGGTGGCAGGGCACCTAACACCCAGCAAGCACACACCTAGGTTTGGCAGAATTTATGAAGCATGTAAGACGTGAATTTAGAAAACCAGCTACAATAATCAGAAAGGGGTATGACTTAAGCACCTCTTCTTTTTAAGGGCTTTGGCTCCTACCTCTTGCATATAGCATTATAACTGATCAAGAGTCACAGGCATTTACTATTTCAGAATTAAATACATACATATATTAAGAACTAGTAGAATAAAGCTTCCTATAAACTACAAGACTAAAGATTAATCTATTTAATCAGTCAACTGGGAAAATATTGGGCTGCTTTTTAAAGGAATGAGGGACCAAACCAGCCCCAGTTCTGAACTCTTGATGTCTTGGTTATTGAGGCAGAATTATTCAAATTCCTTTCAGGCAGAGGAAGCCCACAAACACCATCTTCTATGTGCTTGGTATTTCTTAAAGTATTCCCCTACTATGTGAAGCAGGAAAAGGAAAAACAGGCTGCCTACTGTGCAAGTAGGTATCTTCAGAAAATGTCTGCCAGACTATCAAGCATGCAAAACCCAGGGGTAAATGCCATTTTCATGGTGTATTACAGAGCTTCAGAGTGCCATACATGCTAAAGTTTATAAGTAACCAGCATGGAAGCAGCTTTGCTGTAACAGCAAATCTGAAAAGCATTCACATTACTTTACCAGTCCTGCTGTAGAGGCCTGAAAGGAAGAGTTTATGCACGAATTCAAGCCCTGTGTTTAGGTATTGCTTAAGTACTTCAAGTAGTACTTGAAACTGAAGGTGATTTTCTAGCCTCAATCCAAACACTTTCCTTTAGTTGACAGAATGAAAGACACTCAGTTCTATATTAATATGGCTGCCAATGATGCTCTTCAGTAGCTTAATACTTACCTGTACACCTAGACTATTATCTTCTATGAAGAGCTGGGCACCAAGCTCTTCTTTTTCCCGTGGATCTAGAACCAGTGATTTTCTGACTTTTTTAGAAGAGTTGTGCTGCAATAAACATTTTGCAGAGAAAAATTGTAAAATATTATTTAAAAGCAGTTATTTCCTATGTGAAATTATTATGATAATGTTACCTCCTGTTTGCAGCTTTTATACACAGTGTCATCTTCCTCCTTGAGAAATATGTCTGTTCCAGTTTCTTCTTTCAAAACCTCTCTAATGTCTTCCTCCAAGAAGGCAAGTGGTTGTGACTAAGTTAATTAAAATTGGAAGAGAAAACACAGCAAGTCTGTTAGCTGCTAGTTTTTACTACAGTCTACGTTCAGCTCATGTAGGCCTTAAGACATCTTGCAAAATACAGCAACAGATAAAAGAATTTAAGCTATTGTAGTTAACAGCTACAGATCAACATTTCAAGGCTCTGAGGAGTTTTTACTTCATTTTACGCCGCATTATTTCTAGCCAGAAAAAACACATACACAGTGCCTCAAAAAATGCAAGGCAGCATTGAAGAAGACATGCAAACTACTTGTTTGCATTTATTAGCAATGGTTACCAACTGACAAAAGGGATAAAAACACTTGATATATACTAAACATATATACGTACATATACATGCATACCAACATACTAAAAAACTGTACTATAAAAGTATTACTGTTGTAGAGAAAGGAATTTATACCAATCTCAACACAAATCTTTGAATAAGACATTGATAGTCCTAAGTATAGTACAGAATCTCACAGAAGCCATACAGATGGCCCCTTTGTGTACCAACAGGAGAAGAATTCCCTTAAGCCCTCAAAATTTGATTTTGAACAGGAGGTTAATAGCGGACAGAAACAGGAATGCCAAACCACTCCATTTGCATAGTGAGAATCTATAGGGTAACACAGATGGTGCCAAGCCCTGTGGCAAAGTCTGAGCTACCTTCTGTGTTTGCAAAAAAAGAAGTAGTCAATATACATTGGCTGGAATTTTTTCAGAATTTGAAAAGCATATGTCTACTGAATTCCAAAAGTTATTATGCATTAACCTAACTTAGCTAGGCTGGGAAGAGAGTGAAAACTGAATTCATTTAGAACAAACAAACAAAGTAACATCTATAGTCAACCAAAACAAAAAAGCCTTCTGTGACAGCCAGAAGAATCAGAGAAACCATGAATTGCTATATTAAGATTTTGGGGGTTACGATCAAGAAAATTGTAGATGTTATTCAAGTAAGCCCCTAGGAAGGATAAAACACTTCCAAACATCTCATCAAAAAGGTTCTCAGAATACTAGAATGCTGTGATAAACACCTCGTTTCAGTCCTACCACTGTAGAAGAACCTAACCCATAAAACAACTCAGTTCTTACGTAGTCCAGACTCAAAGATAGTGCAGTTTTTCAAGGCAAATGTGAAAGTTGAGTAAAATAGCAAGGTCAGTCACATTCATCTGCACCCATCTGCTCTTACTAAAGTATCCTGTTGGAGGACTCGCATCCATTCACTCTCTCACAATTTTAATTTGGAAAAAAAAAAACACCACAGAACCCTCCAACAAAACCAAAACAGAATGCTAAAGTATTAAAATTAAAATCTCAGCCAATAATGTTTCCACCTTGTAAGAGGTAGTATTAGCAAGGCTACACAAATTTAAAATGACTCACAAACGCAGAACCAGTGTGTTCAAGGTTCCTATGGGTCAAATCACTGTATGTGCCGAATACCATTCAAAAAGACAACACTCCATACTAGGCTGAAGGATATAGTCTAACACAAAATCTGAAACATTTTTGAATCACATTCTAGCTGTTCTCTAGGATAATTGGAATGTCGCTGAAACAACAGCATTGTTGGAAAATGCTTTCTAAGACCAGGCTTACAATAATTCAAAAACAAGAGGGCACTTAGACTTCAACAAAGAAGAAAATAAACAATGTCATTGCATACCATAAGTTTGAGTGGACCATACTTTTTTTCCTGAGCAGCCAAAGCATTTTTAAAAGGAGTTGGTGTCCTTGGTGTTGAACCCAGAAGAGATCTTCTAATTGTGGGAGTTCTAAAACTATTCAAACATAGAAGTGTTCAAACATGATCTTTTTTACTTTATCAATAGTAATGTAGAATCTAAGAAACAGTTTAAAATTACTTCATTTACAGAACAGACATCAATATTGTGAATCTTACAGTATTAACATCACCATAGCATTACCCCATTTTGTTCAGCATCTTAAAAATATTAACAAAAGCTTGGATTTTGTTCAGTATCTTAAAAAAGGAGACATTTTAACTAAGTAGCTTCCCATTTTAAGTTAAAAACAGGAAGTCAGTTTGTTTGTACACAAGTATTGAAGTGTTAGGGGGTTTAAAGTATAGGTAGGTATAGAGGGTTTCATGGTATAGGTAGACTAACTTTTCAATGTTTAGAAAAATGTGGTTTCATCTGAGCAACACCACTGGATGTTTAATGCAGTAATCTTACCCCACATTTTCTTTTTGATCTTTTGGTGCCATTTCCTTGTGTAGAGGAGTCGTAATAAGAACCTTCTGCCCACAGATTGGAGTCGATGTAAATGCAGGATTTTCAAGGTTAAACTGTTCATTTCCAGAACAAGTGTTGAAAAACTAACCACAAGAAAGAAAAAAACCCTAAGCAACCATAAAGGACAAAACTTCACCACTGTAATGAGCAGAAAAAAAAAAAAAAAAAAAAAAAAATCTGAAAGGCTTTTACTGAAAAATCCCAATAAATTCTTCTTGACTTACACTCTAAGACATTTGC